TTCCATGTATGCCAGAAATAACTTTATTAAATTTATGGGACAATTCGATAAGAAGTGACACTAAAGATCTCATAGTAATACTGTTGGCAACAGCCAGATTAACTATAGCTGCAGTGTGGAAATCTCTCTTACCGCCAACACTCCTCACTTGGCAAGATAAAATCTGTGATCATTTTATAATGGGCAAAATAACAGACAATATAAATAGATTTCAAAACCCTTCCATTCCAATCAAATTTGTATGAATTTGGGCTCTGGTATTAGAATATATGGTTACACAAGGTTTTCTCCCTTCAAATCAAATATATCATAAATGGTTGTATCTGTGGGTGCAGTCAGACGGCGTGCTGGGAGCGGGTTAAACTGCTCCGTCCCCATGCGGTTTTTTTTAAACCTGGAGAATCGCAATCACACTCACCTCCTTGTTCCGGATCGCTGCGCGGCCACATCGCTCCCCGGCGTCCACACGTGTTGGTGTTGGGGTTTTCCCCCCTCTCAGTTTGGGCATGTGCACAGGCAGCCATCTGTAGAACTAAAATGTTCGTGTGCGCTCAGAACAGCGATTTCCTCTTCAACCCGACTGCTGTAACAGTGGCCTCCGTGAGATCCCGAACTCGTCTAAAGGCTAAAAGGCCGCGATGACCTGGCTACAGTGATCCATGCAATGGTCACCTCGAGGTTAGACTACTGTTAACACTCTCTACATGGGGCTGCCTTTGGGGCAGATCCAGAAGCTGCAGCTAGTGTAGAATGCGGCGGCCAGGCTGATGATGGGTCTCCCCAAGTGGGAGCACATCCAGCCTGGGCTGAAAGTGCTGCACTGGCTTTCAATAGCATACCGAATCCATTTCAGAGTGCTGGTATTTACCTTTAAAGCCCTATATGGCCAGGGTCCGACTTACCTGAGGGACCACCTTTCCCCACATATACCCCCAAGAGCACTTCTCCGGGGCACAACATCACCTGGTGGTTCCAGGCCCCCGGGAGGCAAGGCTTGCCGCGACTAGGGCCAGGTCCCTACCTGGTGGAATGAGCTCCTGGAAGAGATCAGGGCACTGTGAGACCTTATACAGTAATGCAGGGCCTGCAAGACGGAGCTCTTCCACCAGGCTTTCACATAGGGGCCGCCACTACCACCACCACCAATGAAGTGGATAACATCGGGGTTAAGGATGGCCCGGGAAGATCTGCCACAATTTCTGCATGACTGATACCACCGGATTTACCTGGTTGGAATTGGCTATAGGACAACATCATCTCCGGAGAACTGCCTGTTTACCATCTTGGCATATATCCAGGGACCATCTTGCTTTCAATTGAGTACTACTGTTGTTGTGATTAATTATTATTAATGTTTTTATTGCTTTTACCTTGTTTAATATAGGCTTTGCCCCTTGTAAGCCGCCCTGAGCCCACTTTGCGGGGAGGGCAGGGTAAAAATCCTACTAAATAAATAAATAAAACTAGGCACAGTTTAAACATTGTTTTTAATAACACGGTGGCGGACCTCCGCCTATGCACACACCAGCAATGCTTTAAAATAATGGTGGGCGAAAAGCTGAAGCCTTGGGCAGCTTTCGAGCGGGGAGGGGGTTTAAACCGGAAGTGACTCGACACTGGAGGCGCGATCACACAGGGGGGAAATGCTTCTGGAACCAGAGAATTAGGAAAACACCACTTGGGGACCTGGTATCAAAATACTCCGGGTTAAAGTGGTTTTGAACCGGAAAGCGACGGTTGGGAATGGGAGGCAGATGTTGACCGTGTGATCACGCAGATAAAATCCGTTTCTGAGGCGGGCCAAAAGCAGACTAAACGGCCTGTCTGAACGCACCCCTTAGGTAATATTTTGATAGTATAATCTATATCAATCTACAGCACATTACAGTCAACAATAACATTTAAATGCACAGAATAACTCGCTCTCTTATTCTACTCCTGGTTTTTTTTGCCTCTTTAATGTCTGTTATATACTGTTTTAATATCTATGTTGAACTTTAAATTGTAATGCTTGTAGTATACTCATTAAAATTTATCTTTAAAAAAAAGATTCTAGGAGCGGTTTCCTATGAAAAGTCTGTACTGTAATTGTGGCCAGTATTTTTCAAGACAAAAGTTTCCTTCTGGCAACATTGGTAGGTGGTTTTATAATTATTCATTGACTGCAACATTTTTTTTAAAAAAAAACCAGACATACAATGTACAGAAAAGCAGAGCCCTGCCTTTATATTTACACACTTAGGAATAGTTCCTAACTTATGCAGTTTGGTTGAATGGTGGCAGAAAGTGGGTTGTCTAAGCAGCAGATTGGGCTGAGATGCCCTGCTGATGATTCACGCCATATTGGTATGCTCTGCAGAATCAGAAGCTTGGTTTTGGCTGCCTGTTGTTGTAGCTTCCTTTCAACATACAGTGCATGAGGACTTCTGGGGAAAATGGTATCTGAACAGGAACCTTGTTAAAGGCTCCGGGCTTATCTTGCTGCAGGGTACATCAAAGCACCACCAGGAGGAGGTGGATTTATATTTTGGACCTCACCTCTCCACCTTTTTTTTGGGGGGGAGGACCAGTGTTCCCTCTAAGCTGAGTTAGTGTGAGCTAACTCACCGTTTTTTAGTCTCCGGCTCACCCTTTTTTGTCTTAGCTCAGGAAGGATGACTCCAGAGCAAACTAATTGATGCAGCAGCCAAATCACTCGCTCACAACTTTAATGCCAGTTGCTCACACAGTAGAATTTCTGCTCACAAGACTCCACAGCTTAGAGGGAACATTGGGGGGGACCCAACTGACAGGTGAATCCAAGGTGACGGGCTTTATTAGGCCCCAATGAGTTCTGAGACCACCAGGGGCAGCAGAGCAAAAATAGGCTCTTTGCCTTCAAAATCAGCTTTCCTGTACATTTTGGCTTTTCCTCTCTTTTCTTTTAAAATTATCTCTGGCTTCTTCTCATCTTTGGCTCTGGTATTTTTGGCCACTGTGTGATACAGAGTGTTGGGCCTTTGGCCTGATCCAACATGTTCTTATGTTCATAGCTGGAAAATACCACATTGTCGATTTTGGCATCAGATGTTGAGCTGCTGGAATTTTTCCAGCTCCGACTATAGCCACATCTTAAATCCTGTCAATAGTATACTACCACAGTGTTTTGCTTTTGTTTTGATGAGTCTAATCCAGATTGTGTTGACTCTGTGTCAGGCTAAAGGATTTATATAAAGGTAAAAGTTCCCTTCTCGAAAGCCAGTCGAATCTGACTCTAGGGTTGCGGTGCTCATCTCCATTTCAAAGCTGAAGAGCCAGCCCTGCTAGGTTGGCAGGAGCTGGAACTAGAGACAGGAGCTCACTCCGTCATGCGGGTCTCGAACTGCTGAACTACCGATATAAATACCCAGTATTTGCAGCAAAGGTGATACAGGGTCCGGACCAAATTAACTGGGGGGCTGTTTTTGCACAATCTTATTTAAAATGGATAGATGCTACCCTGAGCAAATCAGCTGTCATGTAAGAATGGATTTCCGTAGAGGTCTCACAGTAAGCATTTCCAATGGCTTCACCCCTCAAATGTAGCCTTTGAGACTGCTGAACTAAAGCTACAACAGAGTGATAACATTAATGTGTCCTTCATGGGGGACTCAAGACAGTGACTCCTGCCATAAAACTTTCTTGCCTTAAAATAACAAACTGAAAGTATTCATTTATTTATCTGTACGCTGCCTTTCTCACTGAGATTCAAACCGGATTACAGAATATAAAACAATGCAAACAGATGCCATAATCTATCCAATAGAACTAAAATTATAGAACTGGGAGTGCAAGAAGCTTTTTGAGCCTGTGGACACCTTCGGGATTTTGAGGAGGGGTGAGGAGTGCCACCTCAAAATGACTGCCCCAGGAGGTGGCTTCAAATGGAATGCCTCCCTCCTTGCTTCTCCTGGGAAGAAGGAAATCTTGAAGGGGGAAATGGAACCACACACTGACTAAGGGAAGCCCTGGTGCTTACCAGTTCTCCTCATCCTCCAGTGGAAAAACCCTCTACATTGATGTGGGCAGCCAGTAACAAGCCCTGCCTTGCAAAAGCAGCCCTGCTTGCTTTCCGAAAAGCTTGGTGGACACCAATGTTCCCTCTAAGCTGTGGAGTCTTGTGAGCGAAAATTCTACTTTGTGAGCTGCTGGCATTAAAGCTGTGAGCGAGCATTTTGGCTACTGCATCAATTCGTTTGCTCTGGAGCCCTCCTTCCTGAGCTATGACAAAAATGTGTGAGCTGGAGGCTACAAGACTGTGAGCTAGCTCACACTAACTCAGCTTAGAGGGAACTTTGGTGAGCACCAAGGGAAGTATTGGTTGGTGCCATGACACCCATGGGCACCATGTTGGCCTAAGGCAAGGTATGCTATGAACAGTGCAGAAAATGGTATTACAGGAGTTAGAAGGTGCTGCAGTAAAAGCAAGATGATACCTACAGTAACCGTTGCAGAAGTCTGCAATCTTATCCCATTATAAAGGCATCCTCCTCTGTTGCTTCTGTGGTTTGCGGTTGTGTTGAATGCATTGCTTGCTGTCTTGTAGACCCAGATGGCACTGGGGGAGGGGGGCAGCAGGACGGTCAGGTGCCTGGGATGTTCAGATTTAGTCTCTTCCGTAAATATCAAGAAGGGGGAGCAGGGCCATTCTTGAGTATGTACTGATTTCCAGCAGTAGGTGAAGTGCTTTGTGGAACCACACCTTGCTGTCCGGTGATTCAAGCATGACCAAGTCGGGGAGGGAGAGGTTTGCGTAAAAGTGAGCCTAGAACTCAAGGGGGACACTGACACTTGTGGTGGCCTTGTCAGAGGCAGCGGGCTTGATGTTAGGGCTGCGTATGGAGTCTGTTGGGAAGTAGCCAGCATGGCCAAAGTGTCAACATCGCAAGGCTTGGTCTGATGTCTCATCCCTAGGGCCTTCCTGGAGAAAGGAGTGAGTGGGTCTGAAGTTTTTAAGCCAGAAGAGGGTAGGGAAGAATTGCCTGGCAGTCAAGCAGCAGGTGAGGATTTTGTTGACATCTTGGGCTGTGGGGAGGCATGTATGGGAGGTAGGAAGCTGGACCAGAGGGAATGTTTAAAGCCCCGGAAGCAGTGTCACTGCCTTGGAAGATGGGAGCTGGAGCAGGAGTTGCGGATTTGCTGGTCCTTCTCTCCCACGGGTTATTCTGCTTCCTCTGTTCTGCTGCTTGGGACTTGCCCTGCTAGTATCTAGTAGTCCAGTTGAATAATTCGTATTCAACAGTTGCTAGAGTATTGTAGAAATTTAGAGTTTTAGCAATTTTGTAACTATTAAATACAGTTTATATTTAAACATTTGATATTTTATATATTTTATTAGTGCTTTTTTGTATTGATATTATTGAGGTAATTGTAGTTGATTTGTGCTGGTTTTATACCAAATAATTGATTGTAATTGATTTGTACTGGTTTTATACTGAATAAACTGACTGATTGACTAGTATATCGTAGTTCCCAGTGGCCAGTGAACCTGGTTTCTAGCTTTTCCCCTTACCAGAAACTGTTACAGCAGTCATTCAGTTGTCAGCATTGTGGAGACGAACGATGCTCAGCCCATATGCTCAGAATGAGGGCTACAGTAAGCCAACAATGCATTTTCGTCCAGAATGATTCCTGCAGAGCTGGAGCCCTCCTAAATTATTGTGTCCCCTACTTTAATGCACAGTTGGTGCTGATTTTGCTCTGGGGAATCCTTTCTCCTTTCCTCAAGGTAGCATTTCCGTCGTAGGCGCCTCTCCTCTTTTTCCAGGACTCAGTGAGCAGTATTGCATCCACTGAGAAGGTGCTGCCCCCCACCCCCCCAGCTAGCACAGCCATATTGAAAGTGCTTTGTTTTTTCGTGTTTAAAGTGGCAAATGGGAATCCCCTTTGCCACCAGGGAGGGGATTTTGTGCTCTCAACATGGCTCCATTTATACATTCAAAAACTGTGCTATTGAATGGCCAGAGATAAGGATGCAGTCACTGGAGCACAGGATCCCAAGACACACTGCCACCAGCGAGCCAGATTCCATGCTCCGTGTGAGAGGTCCAGCAATCCTCACTGTGTTCTGCTGTCTGTCTCCTGGTGCAGGTCCCCCTCCCCCACGGGGTGACCAAGGTAGTTCCATCGCCAGGTCAGAAGCCGGACTGAAATGAGTCTCGGTGAGCTTTCTGCATCAACTCCCTGCCCAGTTCCCTTGCCCCAGACAGAAATGTTTGTGAGGCGCTGATAGTTGCTAACATTGTTTAGGGGTAGGGAAGGGTCTCACAGCAAGTAGGCTGGCCTGCCTCCTTCCTTCAGTGAAGGATTGACCATCTCCTAGTTCCAACCAATCATCCTCCCCCCCCCCGCCCCCGAGATGGGTGAGTGTCAAGATGGTGTGCTTCATCTCTCCAGGCAATTTGTAGGGTCTGAGCAAAGTGTGTGTTTTTATTGTCTAGAAGGGCCTCTAGGCTCTCACAAGCCACGAGCACTTTTTCCTGAGTGTGTCTTTTTCAGGCGGGAGCAACATCCATGTGGGCTTCCTGTTGTGGGTTGCTGAATGAAGTCATGGGCACCGGAGCTGTGCGAGGTCAGCAGTCCGGATTTGGGGGTGGTGCAAACCCATTTAGGTTTACACCAAACACCGACTTCACTGTGTACACATCTTCAGCAGCAGGAGGAGCCGGCATAATCTGCAAAGCGTGTGGCCTTTCATTCTCTGTGTTCAGGAAAAAGGTGAGTACAGTGCGCTCTGGCATCAGGTCGTTCTCTTTCCTGTTCCCCTTTGGGGGGGGGGGGAAACAGATGTCATTCCCCTTCTCCTCTGGGTGACTCTGGGCAAGCGTGTAAAGAGGGCATGACAGTCATCAGCAAGGCACTGGGTTGGTTATGATATCCAGAATAATTGCTTTGGTGCAACTGAGCACTGCCCCCCCCCCATGTGTGTGTTTGTGTATTTTGTATAACAAGAGGTCCCAGGAAACAGGCTTGGCTCAGCCTTAATTGAAACTGTGACCTCTCATGCTCTGAGCTGATCCCGCCAAGAAGCGCTTGAAGGAACCAGGCTGTATGTGGGGCAGTGACTGAGTGTTCCATTTGCTTTTTGCCCTTTATCTGCTCTCTTAGCACGTGTGTTGTGAGTGCAAGAAGGACTTCTGTTCCATGTGTTCGGTCTTGCAAGAGAACCTGCGAAGATGCTCCACTTGTCAGTTGCTGCAGGAGACAGCGTTTCAGCGGCCCCAGCTGATGCGCTTGAAAGTCAAAGATCTACGCCAGTATCTGGTTCTTAGGAACATCCCGACAGATACCTGTCGTGAAAAGGAAGACTTGGTGGACCTTGTCATGTGCCATCATGGCCTGGCTTCTGCGGAGGATACGGACACTGGCAGCTTGTATTCTGCCCGCTCACAGACTGCTAGTTTTTCTGTACCTCCCATGTCTGTGACCGGATCTACATCGTCCTCTCAGGGTGAGCTTGCAAATAGGCACGAAAGCACAGGAAACGAAGTGCAGTTACAGGTATGTGAAGAGGAGGAGTGTGGACTCTCCTTGCCCCACTCAACCCAGGGGGTGCTGGAGCTGGGGGCACAGATCCAATCCTTTGGCCATGAGTCTGAATCACAGCATCCCAGTGTTTTGCCTGTGTCACTGTCAGATGAGGGGGGAGTAACACTTGTGCTCTTGTGCACATAGGGACAAAATGAGAGACTGTTGGCAAACCCTGGCGAGGAGGAGAACACAGATGAGCAGGTAAGGGGACCTGCCTGGGGAAATGCAAAACAGCTGGGAAGTTACCTTTAAAAGGACATTCTAAAGCAATTCATAGGCTCACTATCAAACATGGGTGCACTATTGCCCATCCAGTACTGCAGTATAGCTTTCACCTGCTTTCTGTGTATATAGAAGTGGCCGATTCTGTCAAGCTTTCTTTGGAAGGAAGTGACGTAGAACTGGGGCCAAAACACTGTCCAGCCTTAAATGATTAATACCCCAGGAAATATGAGATCTAGAACAGGAATTACTCAGAGACTTCAGTGGGCAGGGAGTGGGGCTCTGGGGGAAGGGTTTGGAGTGTTTATTATATTCCCCCTTTTGTATTGAACTCGTTATAACTTTTACTGTATCATTAGCCACCATAGATATTCAGAATAATAGAAAGGTCCGAGTATAAATAATCTAACTGAATAATTGGCATCTCCACATGCAAGGCTCACTTGGTTCTCCCCCCCCCTTTGACTTTTTAATGTGTCGTCTTAGGTTTCCTTGGCAACAAGAACCTTAAAGCCTCATGGAGATAGGTCATGATGGGCTGCCGTGTTTGTCTGTAGCAGTAGAAAGGAGCAAGAGACCAGGAGCACCTTAAAGACTAACATTTGTGGCAAGGGAAGAGCTTTCGTGAGTCATTGCTCACTTGTGGCTCACGAAAGCTCATCCCTTGCCATACGTGTTGTTGGTTTTTAAGATGCTACTGGACTCTTGCTCTTTTTTGCTATTAAAGCCCCATGTAAGGCATGCAGGCTGTTAGTAAGTTAGTTGGTTATTTATTTATATTCCTTGTTTCTTGAACAGGAAAAGGGTGGGAAGGCCTTCTGAGTACCAGCCAGATCTTCTCTCTTTGCTAGCTGATCTCCTGTGAGCTCAGGGCAGTGACTCACAGGCTAAGAGCTGAAGGACCATGAGTCCTTTGGCTCTCATCTCTTGAGTGTTGCAGGCCTTATTGTTCCTCCCCTGCCATATGTGCCCTTAGGAGACTGACTCTGTGTTCTAGATTCCAGGACAGTCCCGGAAGCGTGCAAGGGCCTCTCTCTCCGATCTTTCAAGCCTGGAAGATGTTGAAAGCTTAACCGTCCGCCAGTTGAAGGAAATACTGGCTCGGAATTTCGTCAACTACTCAGGTTGCTGTGAAAAATGGGAGCTGGTGGAGAAAGTGAGCCGGCTGTATAGGGAAACAGAGGCAAATCACAGGACCCGTAAGTGTAATGCATTGGTGTTACACTCTTATCCCCAGGGGAGGGCTTGCTGGAGAGGAGGGGGAGGGAGAACACCTGCTTAGGTCGTCCCCCCGTCTGTCTGGCTGCTTGAACTTGCAAATGCCAGAAAGGAAGACCTGTTCCTAAAGCAGACTGTCTCTATTCTGGGCAGTGGAACAGGGCCGTGTGTGAGCAAGGTGGGGTCTCTGTATACTTGGGCAATTGCCTGGGTTTGCAGGTGAATCCTAATTTGTAAAGGGGAAACTCTCCACAACTGCCCAATGAGGACTGAACATGCTCATTGCTCTTGAAATGTTGGCAGTGAGGCGTCCTAATTTTTTTTTTGGGGGGGGAGAAGTCTTGCCTTTCTGGTTCATCCCCCAACAGATGTGTTCTGAAAGGGGATGCAGTATTCAGGCCAGAGATTTGTAGCATGAGGTATGCATCTTCTCCTTAAGGATGCTGTAAACTTTTATGGACGGTGGCACTCCGAACCTGCGAGAGGAAAGTGGGGGATGAATTAGGATCAGAGGCAAAGTGCTGCCTCTTGTACTGATTCATGGGCTCTTCCAATGATTCTTTTCAAGCCTCTTGAAATTCTTCCCTCCTGTGCTGCTCTAATTCAGAGCTAGATGAGGAATGTGGGCAAGTTATTCAAACCTAGGTGGGCAAGAATCTACTCAGTAGCCCCAGAAGTGTAGCTTTCTTGCACTGTTCTTGTTTGTTTGTAAGGGGGAGGGGAGAACTTTAGAATATCCTTACAGATCCCCAAATACTTCAATATCAAACGAGACATACACAAGCTGGTGAAAACAAGCTTGCCATGGAGCCGTTGATCATGCATTCTGTGGGAGCTTGGAATTGTGCAGGTGTCTGGCGTGGCTTCAGTCTGTCTAACCTTGGCTCTGTTGTGCCTTGGCAGAAGGAGAGAAGACTCAGTTGAATGATGAGGACGACAACCTCTGCAGGATCTGCATGGATGCCATCATAGATTGCGTGCTGTTGGAGTGTGGCCACATGGTCACTTGCACCAAGTGTGGCAAGCGCATGAGCGAATGTCCCATCTGCCGCCAGTACGTTGTACGCGCTGTGCACGTGTTCAAGTCGTGAACAGCAGAGACCGGAACTGGAGGTTTCCTGCCGCGCTTTCTTCTACAGGGTAGGTGCAGGCCTCAGCTGTAAAGGAAGGGGGCTCCACGATAGACCTCCAGTAACTCATAGCAGCCCGAACAGAAGCTTAGGAGCTTGACCCATGTACTTTGGCTTTTGCAGCCAGATGCCCTGTAAGGACAGAGCTCTGTGGGGGAAACCAGACAGTGGTTGAGTCGAACTTGCAGCAGCTTAATGCTGCTGATTGCTCTCTTCTGAAGAATACGGCTGAGGTACAGAAGCCAGTGGGAGGGTCACAGAAGAACGCTTTACCTTTCCAAAGAGCGGAGGGAGCAGAATGATGTGCAAGTGTTTTGAAATCATTATAGTGTCCCATTGAAGAGCCAGTCCAGTGCAATGCAACTAGAGATCTGAATACTCAAAATGCATTCACCCCTCCAGGAGGGGAACTGTTAATGGTTGCATTCAGGTAATGGGGGGTTCAGGAGCAGATTATCCAGAATATATTCTGTGTTCAGCAGACGCCTTAATCATGTTGCGGTGCAAAAGCTACCCAGTGATTCAGAAGAAAAAATAATCGGTGAGATGTCTGATTCTAAATCTGTTCAGTCGTGACTGTTGCAAGTTCTGGGAGACTCTTCAGCAGCAGGTTTTGCCCCTGTGGTGAATTTAGGAATTAAGGCTCCCCGCGTTTAGAATCCATACTCAAACAGTTGCTGGAGAGCAAGTTCCGTTGGTGTGAAATTGCCTTGTTTCAGCTGTTAAGAAGGTGCTGTCAGTAAAGTGGTAGGGATGAACCTGGATTTTTCAAAGAGGTGGAAGACAGTTCCTCAGCGACAGACCTAGTAGCCGCTCTTGAAAGCCTGAGAGGGAATGGCTGCCTCCCTGGCCACCTTGACGTGTGGTGCAGAAAGGCCTGGGACTGTAGTAGGATAGGTACTTAATACTAGAAAAGAACTTAGAAAAAGGGAAGCGGGAAGCAAGAGATGCTTTGATGGAGGCACAGCAGCTTAGTAAAGCACCTCGTCTTCCCCATGGTACTTCCAGATACCTGTTTCTGGTCAACAGGCTAGATTTTTTTGCTTTCCATCTAAAAAGATTTATCCCAAAGCCATGGCCCTAATTCCCAGGGTGGGGTTTAAGCAAAAAGGAAGGCTTTGAAGGATGCCTGCTTGGTGGGAGAGTGTGTGTGACTTTCATACTTCAAAACTGACTTATTTTTCAGAAGGGAGCAAGACATGTCTTTATTTTTAGACAGAAAATGGTTCCAGTCCTTGTTGGGGGGCACGCGTGTAAAGAGAATGTAGCATATCATAACATTCTGAACAATGGCTGTTAAATAAACATTTGTTGACTGGCTTGGTTTCTGGTGTTCAGTACTTTGGCTAGAACAGCCCAGGGAGAATTGCAAGGGCTACCCTCAGCAGAAGTCCAGCCTTCTGAGCCACCAAAGGTAATGGGGGTTGAAAGGTGGGACTTCGCTTAGGTGGGCTGTGTAAACACCCCCAGGCGCCTTTAAAATAGAGCTCATGGCATTGTGTCTTCTGATCTCTTTCAAACAGGTTGCGCCTGATTGCCTCTGGCAGGTTATTGGCTTTAACTGTGAGTTTCGTTAATCACGTGTGCCACTAGTGTTGTCGCTTCCTGATCTTCAACGTGGTCTCTGTGCTTCACACCCATGGGATCTAGTGCGCACGCGCTGGATCGATCGGTGCTGTAGCAAGCTCTTTTAATGGATTTTTGCACCCAGTCCCTCGGGCTTGTGCAGGAACCCCACCGCGCTTGCCCAGAGGGGTGGGCGCGGACATCCCGCCAGTTCCTTTCTTACCGCCGCGTTGAGTAGACCTCTTCTTCGTCGGTCTGATCGGTTCTCTGTTAGCTCACCTCACAGCTCTTAGGAATTATTTCCAAACTTTCTGTTGAGGGGGAGTTTACCTCAGGCCTTCGGGCTACCCCCCCCCCCCAAACGTTCCCTCGTCTTCTTTTCTTTTATGGAGAAGAAGCGGGGATTTTTTAATAGGTGCAAGGGTTGTGGTGGCAAACTTGCTCCTCCCGACCGTCATACCCTCTGCATTTTTTGCCTCGGAGAGTCTCACCAGCCAGAGTCCTGTCGCCACTGTGTCTCTCCAATGAAACGAGGAAAAGCCGTGCTGCGCGCCTTAAAGTGGCGCTGCTTGAATTGGCTGTCTACATCGACAGCTCCGGCATTGAGACCTGCCTCCGATGTCGACCGCCTGACGCCAAAGCTCCCGCCATCGACGGCACAATCGTCTGCTTCCATGCCAGTCAAAAAGAAGGCTAAGGCAAGTAAGGATCACAAGTCCGCTAAGAAGGGCACCTCCAAGCCCCTGAAGGCGGCGAAGAAGGAAGGAAGCAGCGTCTGCACTGGGTGATGCCCCTAAAGTGCCTCCCGCTCAAACGGCAGTATCAATATCAGAGGCTCAAGCCCCTCCACCGATACCGACCATCCATGTTTTGGACTCCCCTGTCCACCAAACGGAGCATCCTTACTCCGACATCGAAACGGTAGAGCTCCTAAGTCATCAAATGGATGCAGAGCCTTCTCCGTCTCCTTCCCTGTTGTCGACATCGATGGTATTGGAAGCTCCCGACATCGATCCACGTCGGCACCGATATACTTCATGCGACACGCAGCGTTACCCTCCACATCTGCAAGGTCAATCTGTCGATACCAACGACCGAGACTACAGGGACGGCTCCCACAGACGGGCTGCTGCTTTGTCTCCCAGACGTCCACGGTCCAGAAGTCGTTCCCCAAAAGTCTTCCTGCCCCCCCCCCCCAATGTCGTGGAATCAATGACAGTTGAGGTACCTGTACGGGGCTTATCCACCATCCATGCTGTGGTTGACTCCGTTGGGCTATTCTGATTGGGATCGCTATTCGTCCCACTCTGTTCATAGGTCGAGATCCCCCACAAGTCGAGACCTTCAGCATCTCTGTCGCATCCTCCTATACTCGATCCTTCCCACCATACTCTGGAACCAAGTCGTTCTGTCAACCCTCAGGTCACTCCAACCCCGGTCGTCCCTGTCGTCCAACTTGTCAACATGACTCCTCTGACTTCATAGAGGAGGACTCAGACACGGAGGCTTCTGATGCTCATACATCTCCCGACCATACATCTCCCAACCAGGATGTCGCTGAGGACTTACCCGTATCCCCATCCGACAACCTTACCTCTTACACTGACCTAATCAAAAGAATGGCCCACTCTTTAGGCCTCTCTGTCGTCCAGCAATATCTGCAGGCTACAGATGCAATCTATGACATAGTTCAGCTTGATACCTCTTCCACCCTGGCATTGCCCATGTCTTCAAGTCCTTCTGCAGGCGGCGAAGTCACCATGGCTAAAATTTTCGTCTGCTGCTGTGTCCACAAGAGGCAGATGCTGAATTCCTCTTCTCCCACCCTCAGCCAAACTCGATGGTGATTACATCTTCCTCCAAATCCAAGAGGTCACATTCCGCACCTTCTGACAGGGAAGGAAAGAAATTAGATGACTTTGGCAGATGCTTCTACTCCACAGGAGCATTGGGAGTCAAGGCCACTAACTACCTGGCCTGTATGAACCGGTATCAATACACTCTCTGGGAAAGGTTCTCTGAACTTATCAGCCACCTCCCAGACGACAAACTTCAAGCAGCCAGAGTCATACAAAAAGAGGGCATGGTGTTGGCAAAACAATAGCTCAACACTACTAAACATGTCCTCGAGGCGTCTTCCAGAACTATGGCCTCTGCAATAGCTCTCAGAAGACATTCCTGGCTCCGCAACACTAATCTCCCGATAGATACTAGATCTTATGTAGAAGATCTTCCTTTCGATGGCCTGGGACTTTTCAATGCTACCACAGATACTACTCTACAAGAGTTAGACAAAAGCATAAAGGCTTCTCGAGCTCTAGGAGTCTCGTCCTCTGCAAAACAACAATACCGTCCCCGAACCTGGTCGAGGTCCTGGCAGAGGCGTACACCAACTCATCAGTCTCCAGCCACATGATGGAGACCACGAACGTCTTCGGGAGGCCAAAAACCTACTTTTCAGAAACCAAAATTCAGTTCAGTCCAACAAGCTTCCCGCACCAAACAGTCCAAACCCTCCAAGCAGGGTTTTTGACTTCCCTGCCACCAAGTCAGCTGCCACCCGTCTGTTTCCGTTTCTTCACGCCTGGCGTCTCATCACCTCGGACGAGTGGGCGCTGTCCATCTTGACCCGAGGTTACAAAATTCAGTTCCACCAGAACCTCAATACTCCTGTCGTCGTCTCCACACCCCCTTTCCCACCTCTCCTCGAGGAGGTTCCGTCCTTCTGCAGAAGGGAGCTATCAAACAGGTACCACCACACCTCCAAGGGACAGGATTTCCCCCCCAATACTTCACAGTCCTGAAGAGAGACGGAGGCGTTCGATCCATATTAGATCTAAGGGAACTGAACCGTTTTGTGACCTACCACCGCTTCCGCATGGTATCCCTACAACAGATCATGCCTTTGCTTCGGAGACACATCTGGATGGCCACCCTCGACCTCCAAGACGCATATTTCCACCTTACTATCCACCCCTTCCACCGCCAATACCTACGCTTTGCGATTGGTCAGCATCACTACCAATATATGGCCCTTCCATTCGGCCTATCCAGCGCCCCAAGGGTCTTCACAAAGACTATGATTGTGGTTGCAGCTTTCCTCCGTCTCCGGGGAGTTTCCATCTACCCGTATATAGACGATTGGCTTCTGGTAGCGCCGTCCAAGAATGCCCTGGTCTCAAACATCACGGAGACCCTGGCTCTAATGGACAACCTGGGCCTACAAGTCAATCAACAAAAGTCTCACTTGTATCCGGTCCAGAGAATACAATACATCGGCGCAATACTGGATTCAACGACATGCATGGCTTACCTGCCACAAGACAGCCACTGTCGTCTACACCCAACCCTCCGTCACTGCCTTCCAAATCCAGAAGCTGTTAGGCCTGATGGCTGCAATTACGTCAGTTCTCGTCTTCGCCAGACTCAAAATGCATCCGTTACAACTACGACCAGTCGAAAAACGCACACACTGTCGTCCTATCCCCTCTTCCCAGCATACAGGACTCTTTACTTTGGTGGACTGTCCCTTCAAATATCCTTCAGGGAGCGCCATTCCACCCTC